TCAGCCAATGACATTTGAGCACTCCATTGAGCATGTGCGACAGAGTACCGCAGTACAAGTCCCAAAATGCCTTGCAGCACTCTTTCTGTAGCATAAACCACCACATTTCCCCTTTCCTTATTATAATTATGATGAGTTACAGAACAATTTTTAAACCTTTTTCTTAAACTTTTCTTAACAGAAACAAACTTATCTTAACCATTTGTATAAAACAGGGCCAAAAGTGGTAAGGCCTTTATTAAAACTGGTCACAACTTTATTAACTGTGCAACTTTCAATTATTCAGAGTTTATAAATATGGTTTATATAAGATTTTTTTATCTGAGAGTATTCGTGTAATTGGCTGAGAAACATCAGCTTATTTTAAGGGGAAATGTAAGAAAAATCCTTGCTTTCAATTTATGAAATGGCAAAAAATACTTGCAGGACAAGGAAAACTGCAGCAAGAAATCCTTTATCGCAGCGCTGGGTGCAATCCCAAGTCACATGGCCCGGAAAAGCACACGTGGTTTGAAAAACACACTCTTTTTGTGTAGGGTTGGTGTATGCCTTATATAATAAAGAAAAACACCTCCTCGTGTGATGGTGAACAAAGAGCATTTATTTTAAAATCGGCGCTGTTTTATCCTTTAACACCATGTGACTTCTTTGACCAATGAGGTTACCTATGTCAGCACATGCTCTCCTGGGCTCCTCTGCCCTGGCACATACCCTGTGCCTTGGACACACCTCCCACATTTTTGTACCCTCTTGGTCACTTAAGATGTTAAATACTCAACAGGTAACAGGTATTTTACCTCAAAAGGTAATTTTTCGAATTTGGGAGGGGGTGTCACCCTCCCTCCTGATTAATTGCTGATGTACCCCCCTGTCCTAGTTAGGACAACTGAGATCAGTTCATCATGGTGGGTGTAACCCAAAACTGTATTCTATAGCCTTCCATGTCATTTCCCAGAAACTAGACTATTGTTGTCAATAGACTATTCGCACCCTCTGCCCATAGAGCCTGACCCCTCAGGCTATAAACTAGGTGTTAAGAGGCCTGTGAGATAGGAGGATGTTTCTGTCCTCACACCCTTTGTGAAACTCCCCA